AGCTCTGCTTTCTATTAGCAAAGTCCTGAACATTGCTGTCTGGATCTCAGGCCTCATGCACGGTCTGTGATACCTGGGCTTATGTTTCGAGCCCTCATTTTACCACAGCGGGCAGTGACAGAGCTGTGTCTAGTCTGTCTCTGGTTGTTCCGTAGACTACGATGAAGCATATCCTCATGCAGAACCTGTCATGAAGTATCACAGCTGCGTTGGCCTCAGGAGTTGGAGGCAGGGGTCTGGGTGATACATGAGTGTTGTTTTGCATGGTCTCTGTGAGTGCTGGGAAGGCAGGCATGACCTGCAATGAGTCAAGGTCAACCCCTTATTATTCCATCTCTGTCAGGGTACCTGGAGGTGCGATGGACACAAAATAGGACACGATCCCTGGGCACTTACGGGCTAAAATTGTCACTTGGAGGTATATGGTACACTTGGCAGTCCAGAAGGAGTGAGATGGGACATAGCAGGTAGCTGTACGGACATGACTCCCCCAGAGAACGCTAATACCTACCTCCTATACAGCATTTGTCATTAGTACATCTCAAAGCATTTTACAAATTCCATCAGTGTCAGTACCCCCATTTTACAGGTGAGGAAACTGAAGCAAAAGGGGGGTGAAGGGACCTAGCTAAGGTCATCCAAAAGGCCATGGCATAGGGTCTGGGCCGCAGATGCTGTGCTTTCGACGGTTGTGATTAAAGGGGTGACTGGGTGCAATAGAACCTCTTCACAATGTAGAGCGTCTCCCCTCAGGCATCACTCCAAGGATCCCATATAGTTGCCTCGGGGGTGACTTTCAGTGCTCTGTTACTGGAGAGAAAGGAAAACAACCTTGTGACAACCAATATCTATTAACCGAATAGTTGGATGAGGATTGGGCAGCTGATTCACCCCAAGACATGACGGGAGAAGAACTGGACATGCGCTTTGGGTCAGGTTACCAGGCAGGGCCCATGCAGATTGTTACATGCACATGCAGATTCCTCAGCAGGGTGTCAGCCACACTTTTCAATTCTTGGACTTTCTCCCAGACACCTTTTGAGGAGCCTTTTACATGTGCAGAGGCAAAAATAAATAAATAAATAAATAAATAAATAAATAAATAAAAATGCTGTGCTAAGCCGCCAGCCATTTTGTAGCTGTGTGTCTGCTTTGCTGTATGTCCTTCTCTTCCAGCTGGTAAGTCACCTTAGCTCCTCTTTGCTTACTCTTTACTATTTGGGAGGGTGTCAGAGTCTCACAAACTTGAGCGCCTTCCGGGAATGTCATGGAGGTGATGTTTAAACTCTCAGGTCCTTAGAGCAACACACTAGGAACCTCCTTCCTCGTTAGACAGACATCTGTCAGGTTAGATAGACATCTGTCATGGATGATCTAGATGGTGCTTGCTCTTGCCGGGAGGGCAGAGGACTGGACTTGATGACCTCACGAGGTCCCTTCCAGTTCTAGTGTTCTATGATTCTGTGATTCCAGTCCTTTGTATTTATTCATAACTATTTGCACAAACCATTCCGTGAACGTAATTCCAAACCAAGATTTGGCTGGCAAAACTGATTTATTGTAGATCTATGCTGCTAATGCCCATCATTTAATTATACTGTAGCTAGTGATTCTTTTTTAAGGTATAGTCCAATGTGGTAATAAAACAATTGTTTGAATCCACAGATTGAGATACTTTTGGGCTACTGTTTTTTCTTTGTTTATTTAAGGAACTGGACTATTGATTCAGTAGAAATCCGGCGACTCTATTTTTGCTGAGTGGGGTATTTACTGTTAAACATTCATGGAACATATTAACTATCTGATTCTTCTCTTCACAATTTGGACCAGTAAGACATTTAAAAACAATGATAATTGCAGGGGAAGGCAGATTGTATTTCTCTCTACTAAAGACAGTAAACAAAGTATCAAAGGTGTGGTTTTGATATCCGTGTTAAGGCTACCTCTGATTCTTCTCTTCACAATTTGGACCAGTAAGACATTTAAAAACAATGATAATTGCAGGGGAAGGCAGATTGTATTTCTCTCTACTAAAGACAGTAAACAAAGTATCAAAGGTGTGGTTTTGATATCCGTGTTAAGGCTACCAAACTGATACCTCAACATTTGGGATTGCAAATATCTTGCTGTTGATTGTTCTAAATTTACAAAGTACATAGAATCCTAGGGCTGGAAGAGGTCATTGAGTCCAACCCCCCCGCTAAAAGCAGGACCAACCCCAACTAAACTATCCCAGCCAGGGCTTTGTCAAGCTAGAACATAAAACCCTCCTTCGCATATGGAACATGAAACCCTCTTTCTTTACGGATTAGGAACAGTGTTCCTGTCAGCAAATTTCTATGGTATTACTGCAAACACATCAGGAGGTTTCAAGTACCTGAGAAGCCCCTGGAATGGAATCTTGGTTAAATTTGTATTCCTCCTCCTCCCAAATCTGAAATGGCATCCCTTCACCAAGTGAGGGGCTTGGCCCAATGACACAGATCATCCTCATCTGTCAGTCGGAAAGTCTGTTCAGCTCAGGTGGCCAGGCACTGAAGGGACATGTCCACCCCAGGAAGAAGATCGACCTTCCGGAGGTTGATCTTCTAGTGTTTGATTTAGCAGGTCTAATGTAGAGCCGTAAATCGAACACTAAGGGCAGCCCCTGCCAGGATCCGGTACACCTCGTTCTGTGAGGAGTAAAGGAAGCTGACAGAACCATGTGCTCCTGTCAGCCTCCTGTGCTTGGATGCTGCCACAGCTTGGCTTAAGGAAAGCCGACCCCAGCTATGCAGTTGGGTACCTGAAACTGACCTGCCTGGTCTACTGTCGACCAGGCCCAAGTGTGTAGCATAGACACTGAGGGTGCTTGGAACTGGGCTCCATCTATATGTAGACATGCAATTACACAGGCCTGATTGCTAGAGGCACAGAACACTCACGAACTCCCAGAGAGTGAACAAGTGGGCGGGGGGAGGGAGATCTTTATACCACTTGTCTTATTTTATCAAGGGGCGGTAAATGAAGAGGACAGAGCACTGTCACACAGAACCTTCTGGGTCTCATAGTGTAT